TAACATCAAGGTTTTTAAGGGGCTCCAGAAATAACACCTAACTCAATTCTTCAGCTAGTAGCCAGTTACAAAGCACTGAGGCCATTTCAGAAACACCCTCAGGAAAGCATCTCCTGTAGTGTAAGGCAGCTTAGAGGGATTCTCAGGTGACAGAAAATCCCTGGGACTCCCCAGACACCTGCCATTTCTCTGGCTGGAGAAGCCACCATCAGCAGCAGTTCCAACGCAGACACTTCCAGGTAAGGCAGGTGGCCTCCCCTGCACCCTCTTCTCCCTGACTGCTACGGTTCTACTTCTCTGCCCTTTTCCTTGGACCCTCTCTCTTGGATTCCTGGGTCAAGCAAGAGAAAGGGGTTAGGATGGGATAAGTAAAATGGCTAAGATACCTCAGCTACTATTTTTAGACAGAGATGCTGAACTTTTAGATCAGTACTAGAAACAAGGAGCTACTGCCTTTTAAAACTGAAATAACAGAACATTTCAGATGCCCATGTGGCAGCTGAAGAGTCTACAGGAAGCTTTGCAAAACAATGCAAAAATCAAACCAGTATTTCTCACACAGCTACTCGGTTCCAGGGCATATTTCATGCAATTACTCAACAAGGCACTGAAATCTTCATGTAGAGCAAGTGAGGAGGCCCCAAGATTTGAAACCACAAACTGGCCAGGTGCAAAATCTGCATGCTCCAAGAGGATCTGTTACACCAATTACCCACTTGGTGGTTTGAGACTGTCTTGCAGGAATTGTGCTTCACACTCCATCCACAGCAAATCGTTACTGCATATGGTATATATTTACTAACATTTTACATGTGGATGAGCTATATGTTCATATCCATCCGTTTCCAGAATTTTCTATGTCAAAGTTATAGGAGTAAGAGTAGCTTAGAGGAAGAAAACAGGAATTTTTATTTTTCTGCCTGAGCACTGTTTTGCAGCTGATCCTTTATATAGGTGCAAAAATCCACAGTGTAACATACCCAAGCACATGCATTTCCTAGACTCACTTTCACAAACTTTGGTTTATGCTGCGTTTTATTGCTGGCAGTAGAACTGTTGCACCTACATAGTGAGCACAAGAGGTTGTAACATCCATAACTCACAAATACCACATGCAGATGTACTTTCACAGTTTACAGCTCTGCTGAAATGGGTTTCTCATAATTCAGAGAGTGCTTACACACTGTTTCCACCGCATAGCAAAATTATTTCATAATAAGATAAGAATCTCTGCTGCAGCAGATGAAAAACATTTGCTTGGAATATTCCAGCTAAACTGCAGATGAATGGCCCATTGCATTATGTATATCCTGATTACAGAACCCAGGGAATACAGTGGTGGGTTCAAGTTACCTGTTTTCTCTAGTCTTATTGGCAGTTTTGGGTATTCATTATATTTTCCTTCTGGAGCCCCATCTAAGCTAGAAGACTACTAAGAAGGCAACAATTCAGACACCTTTAAAAGCATGAGAATCCAGGATACTTTGTATTAGGGTACATTCATTTTTAAAGTACGGAGAACCATAAAAATTTTCTTTAAAAAAATAAATAATCACATATGTAGTTTAAAAGCTGACATCATCTAAAGTTATGAACACTGAAAGCAAGACCATAACTACATTTGATTATGAAAGAAGCCCTGACCAGAAGGGGAAAATTATGTTCCTCACTCTTCCAAAGATGCCATGGAAAGACAGCAGGCACAAGAGGTCTAGATCACCAAAGGAACAGGCTGAGTAAACAGTTATAGGGAGATTTTGGATAAATTACATGATTATCCACTACTTAAGGAATAGGACTGAAGAAGATGAATCCTGTCTCTGTGTTTGCCTTTGACCTGTTTCAAGGCTCCTATTTTCCAAGTCACTTAAGCCATTCACATTATCAAAAGTTCCATGTTACAGTTCCAGTTTTTTTTTTTTACTTCATTAGCACCACTCATGAATAAAACCAAGTGGATACATAAATGTTTGGGCACCATAAGGCTGATGTAAAATCCATATAGTTGATGTCACTTATACTCCATCCCAGCATAATCAATAGCAAAATACTGTGCACATCTTGAAGATTCTTCTCAGCCATCAGACTGCCTTGTTGGGCAGTTGTGTCTCAAGTATTTTTCAGAAGAATAGATGCAACTGACCTTGATAACTTTTTCTCTACTCTCATGTATCTGCTAAATGGATAACTTGTATTGATCTTCTCCTTACTAATCTATGACTCCCAAGGGTGAAGAGGGGACTTCCAATGAAAAAATTGCTATCTTGAACTTAACTGGACTGTGGCAAGTGTGGCAGGAGCATCTTGCTCTGCTATGAGCAGTATTAAATCCATCCAAATGGAGGGAAACTGCCTGGAAACTGTTTTCCAGAAGAAACTGCAGCAGGAGACCAGGATGACAACTGAACCTCAAAGTGTGGGTGCTTTTTATTTAAGCTCTTCCTAGTGGAGGCATGTGCAACCTTTCTCTTTCTTGATACACCAATCATATTCAATTTACTCATTCTTCTGCGTGGTAACTAGAAGCCACCAGGGCTACTGTCAAGGGGCAATCAAAGTAAAAAACTTTAAATGTTCAAATGCATCTGGTGGAGTGCATGGTGTCCCTCACATCATAAAGGGCTGCTGCAATAAACACACCCTAACTCTGCCTTCGCTTGCCCTGCTGCAATCTTTACTGTATTGTCTAACTAAAGCAATCAAAACAACCATCTACTATGAGAGCTACTTTCAGTTTGGGAAAAAAAGTATCAAAATACACCAAATACTCTTCATCCAAAACATTCTTTATTTTGACCTCTATTAGTACAAGAACCCTGTCATGTTATCTCTTCTGCTTGTTCAGAATTCCCATTTGCTTCACAGCATCTTAGTAAACAGAGTAAACAGTGGAGCTGTCAAATAAGAATATACACGTTTTAGTTTAATATATCAAGTAGAAGAGGGAAGTGATAAGAATAGAAATTGTCTTTAAGGAAGGAATTAGCATGCTTACAAAAAAACCTCCAAAACAACAAAACAAGTGGCCTAGTTCCCCCTTCTAGACTTCCTACCATATCCTGACTTTTCTACTACCATCTGCCAGAAAGGCAAGTTCCTCAGATATGATATCTATTTCTTGTTCTTTTTTCATTTACCAGCAAATCATGAAAAATCCTCCCCCACAGTTTATTAACTCACTAAGCCTCATAGACCTTTTTGCTTCTTTAAAACACTGTGCAACTGTCTGAGTTTGGGATGCAAAGTGATTGAATTCTTCTTTTATGGTCTATGCTTTGGACAGTTGCTGAGCTCCAAAGACCCTTTACACTGGTGTAGCTTGTTCCTTCTTGTGCTGATGCCCACACATTTAGATGTGCTCCAAAGGACTTCTAAACCAAGAGAACTCGTGAGCAACTGCACTCATGCTGCAAGGACTTCATCACTAAAATCCCCCAAATAATATATCAGCCCCACTAAAGGAATTAAGTTTGATTGAGCTGTTCCAAACTGCACCCCACCTTGTACTTCTGGAAAATTAGAATCTTCACCTGCACTTAAATTCTCGCAAGCAGATGGCTTTGCTGCCTTAACTATCTGCTCTCAAAAGTTAAATGCATCCATCTCAGGTGTTTGCAGCTGACAATTTAACAGCATTTTCTACTGTGTGTACGCTGACCTGCATTTTCTGTTGCTTGTAACCATGCCTTTTCAGTACAGTGATTTTTCTTCTATCTCAGCAGAGATGTACTGCTCACTACAGAAAACCAAGTTGCCAACTTTGATGCTTCAAAAGTCAGATTTTTTTTCTGTTAGGTAAGTAAAGAAGGCATTTCCCTCCTCCCCCCCCCCAACACTGTATTAGAAAGGCACACTAATTTTCAGCCTTCTGTCGCTCAGGAAAGAGCACAAGGAGTTATGCTCAAGTTTTAAGTTACCTCCTGGGAGTTCCTTTGAAAACTCCTAGTTTGATTGCTACGGTGCTTATACCAAAGCAAGAAATAGCTGTCCTGTTCCACACATCGCAGGGAAGGCAGCGGGGAAGAGTTTATGAACTGTAATTACCAGCTTACCCACTCAGGCTCCTTCCTAAAAGAAGAATCATTCATCATCCTCCTTTGTGCTACCGACTCCTTAAAAGGCCTACTCAGCTTAAACTCCCGGGTATCCCACCACAACCAGGCTCCCTAAGAGCCTAAGCCAGGGCTACCTAGATGGATTTCAAAGGGAACATCGCGCCGCTTGCCTGCCTTATTTGGGAAACCCTCACTCTGCACCGGCTTGGCACAACCTCAGCGCCCGCGCAGGGCTTCGTAAACGTAAACTGGAGCTCTGACAGAGATTTAACGAGAGGGAAGCTCAGATTGCGATGAGCTCTGAGCACCGGCAAGAAGCAGAAACGAGAGTGAAAAGGGAGGGCGGGCTGACTAGAGTTGAGCGAAACTTGTCGAGTTAAAAACAAGCCCGAAAGGGCCCGGCGAGGAGCCCTCGGGAGGGCTCTGCGCGTGTTTGGCACAAAAATCTCCAGGAAGGAGGAAAAGGAAAGCCGGGGAGCGAGCGAGGGAGCGCCGGCGCGACCGGGGGGGGCGAGCGGCCAGGGGCCGGGGGTGTCCCCGGCCGCGACCGGGACCTCCGCCGCCCGCTCGGCCCCCCTGCCCGCTCGCAGGGGCAGGGCGGGGGCGGAGCGGCGCCGGGACGCCACTGCACCCCCGCGGCGGCCGGGAGGCCTATGGGGGCGCGGCGCGCCGCCGGAGCGCCCGCAGCCCCTCCCCGCCGCTGCCTGCGGGAGTGGGAATAAAGACAGATAGCGGGGCAGGCAGCGGCTGGGGCGGAGGGAGGGAGCGCGCAGAAAGTTTGGTGCGGAGCCCGCGGGCGGCGGCAGCGATGCCCGTGCTGCGCGAGCGCTGGGGCTGGGCGGGCGCCGCCGGCCTTAAGGGGAGCGAGAGCGGCGCGGGGCGCGGCTGCGAGCCCCCGGCCCGGCCCGTCCTGTCCGCTCCTCGGGCGGCCGAGAGGAAAGCGCCCCGGGCAGGGACGGGAGAGCGGCGCTGCCGGAGCGGGGGGAGCGAGAGCGGCACCGCGGGGGCCAGCCGCGCCGGCAGAGCCGGGGGAAAGATGAGCTTGTTGTCAACCATCGACACCAGCGCCGCGTCCGTGTACCAGCCCGCCCAGCTCCTCAACTGGGTCTATCTCTCGCTACAAGACACGCACCAGGCCAGCGCCTTCGATGCCTTCAGACCCGAGCCCTCCTCGTCCCAGCACCCCGACCTCGGCTACACCAAGAGCACCCCGGAGCTGGGCTCCTCGCTCAGCTCCAGCTATCTCAACAGCTTCTTCCAGCTCCAGCGGAGCGAGGTGAGTCCGCCCCGCCGCCCGGCGCGCGCCCCGGCCCCCCCGGGACACAACCGCCATGATCCTCGCAGCCTCCTGCCCCCTTCCCCGAGCCGACGAGCCGCCGCGGACGGGCAGCCCCGCTGCGCGCCCGCTCGGCCGGCGGCCGCCCGGCTCCTTGTCTGCTCCTCCTTCCCGGCCCTTTCCCGCCGGGCGCTCCTCGCTGCCCGTCCCGCTAACGGGCCGGCGAGCGCCGCCGCGCCGCGGCATTGGCGCAGCCGCCGCCTCCTCCCGCCGCCCGCCGGCGGCGCGGGGCGCCCGTGTTGACAGTCTGGTCAATGGTTACACCGATCTCCCGTGCGCGGCCGGGACGCGGCCAGCGGGACGGGGGGCAGGACGCGCAGAAAGTGCCACATCCGTCATAATGTGCAAAAATACCGCCGCCCCCTCCCCCTCCTTTCTTTTTTTTCTTTTCCTTCAAAGTGATGTTTAAAAAGCTTGCTACGAGAATACGTGTCGCTTATAAGAGAGATGAGGCCGGCACTGTTTGAAAGGAAGAGATATAAACAGGAACGTGACAAAAGCAGTGAAAAAGTTTTGTGCGCATTTCGTAACGCAAGAACAAGACTAAATGAAACCAGAGGGAAGGAAGCTAAAAAACTAGGGTATGCGAAGACAATTCGCTGTGGAACTCCCTGTCACAGGAAGTTGTTGAGGTCAAGCACTTCTGCATTGGAGGGATTTCACATGTGCGGAGATACTGCAAGGTGGCACCTCACACGCCACAGCTCACAGCCTCTCCAGAAAAGATCCAGCTACAGTTTTGCACCCTACTGTGGGACTCTTGCCGGAGGCATTCAACAGTGGCTCTGTTTGACGAGGGTTAGATGGACTATGCATCCCTGCCTGCACTGGCACTTCCCACAGAATGACATTTCAGAGTCCTTCCAGCGCCATTTGTGTTAAATATTGATTTGAAATGTATTCTCAGTCAAAATACACATTCCTGTTCTGTCAGCAGAGGGATGGGGTTATTAATTAAAACCAAATCAAATTCCCCAACTGGTCTTAAATTATAGCTGCTAACAGTTAAGAACCAGAGGTTTACACACACATTCTTTTCCCCTTAATTCGAAACTTTCTTCTTTCACAGAGCACAGCCAGTCTCAAAATAGGCACTATTTTTGAGAGTATATAGTTTGCAACCTGTTCAAACTGATGTACCTAGTCTTATGAAGGTCGACATGGCATAGGCAGTTTAAAAAACACACAGACTTAGCAAGCACATTGATTTTGGAAAAAGACTAGCGGGGTTGCAATTTAAACTATTAGCTACCTACCTGTTGGCAGCAAATAGTAGATTTTGCCCCTTTCTGCTTGGCTTACGAGCTTTGTGGTGCCCAAGTAGCAACAAGACTCCAGGAGTTTGGCCTTACATGGACTCCAGAGTGGGACTCGTTCAGGCCTGTGTTTGTTCAAGTTGGGATACATTCTGCTCACAGTGGGTCCTTTTTCTTCCTGGGAGAAAAAGGAAGAAACAAGTAAATGGTGGCTGCATTCAGGAAGCCTTTGAAACAGTCTCTGAGAAACAGTTTTCTTTTCCCCACAGTTCTCAGAGTTCATTTTCTGCTTCTACTATACTGTGTGCAAGTAGGGACTAATCCTTTTGTCACACTCCCTTTCCACTTAGCTCACATTTCTTTCCACTTTTTTCTCCAAAACTTTTCTCCTTTATTCTGGAAAATCATTTCCCTGGTATGCCAGGCCTTCCCCAGGCCCCTGCCTCGGCTCCACACAGTCAGCCCCAGCCCCTTTGCAGCCTCTCCTCAGCTGCACTGCTTTTGGATCCCAGAAGTCACCTTTGCTGCATTTCTGAATAGATTCCTATCATCCATACACTGTATGGATGCAACTTTATTCTGCCTTTTTTAACTTCGTTACGGTTTCCTGAGGCACATGAACAACAACAACAACTAAGAATGCTGGCTCTGTAGAAAGCCAAGAGCATTCACCATTCAGGAAATAAGCCATTTCATTCTACACAGATATTTTAATATTTTTAAAAGATCAAGCACGTTAGTTTGTTCAGTTCACTTTCCAGCCTATGACAATTGCATTGACTATGCGACTGATGGAGACACTTCTGTGTTTCCAGTATTTACCTGAACTATGTGTAACTACAGGGTAACCTGAAAAGAGGGAAGGGGACATGGGAGTGCTTTTACCCTTCTGGATATAGCCTGAAGGAAGTAAGAAACCCATTAGTTCCCCAGGCTAACACTGCCTGCTTACACAGCAGCTTTCATTCAAGGGTTTAGAAGACGCTAGAGATACTGTTGTTCAGAAGAAGTTCTGTCAGTATACTAGGTACTCTGTTCTTTCCAGAGACTGGAAACTAGACTTCTCTTTGGCAGGAGTCACCCAAGAGTTTCCGACAATGTCATGCTCTTAATTCTTGAGATTCTAACATCTGTTTATTTGCAGATGCCATTGGGTATACACTACATATTTCAACTGCGTAAAATTATTTTGGAGCACATTAGTACTGCATGCTGCTTTTGCATCAAGTGGGCTTATGCTATCTTTGGAACAACACATAGCTTTCCACAGTTAAACTGTTGACTGTTTTCTACACAGTGCTTGCTTTGGTTGGCTTTTTTTTTTTTTTTTCCTCACAGTTTTGTCCTGGGTTGGCTTAGGCTGGAGCCGAGCTGTGACAATGATTGACACATAGCTGTACACAATATTTGGAAAGTGACCTAATGAGGGGCCAAAATAGCAACAGATTGAGAAATGATAGGATCATAGGGTGTCAAATAGTCGTGCCTTCTGTATGTTGCATTGCAATTGAAAATTTCTGGAGGACAACACTTGCAATAAGACACAGCGCTTGTGAAAAGTTGCTATTATACCAGGTTTGAAAGTCTGCATGGCAGTGCCTGTGTATGTGACTTGCATACTGACCAAAGGAACAGGACAGAAAAAAATAAAAGTGCCAGCACCCACAGAGTAGTCTTGTACTTCACCAAGATTTTTGTCCTCCAGACTTTTTCCACTACAATGGATGCCTTCTAAATAAACATGATGAACACAGCTGTTTGGTGCATAAAAGCCCATTGTACCAGGAAAAAAAAGCAATAATAAAGGTTTCAACAGTAAAGCAACAAAGAGTGTTTTGTTCCGTATGCAAGACTCATTTTGCAAAACAGACCTGCTTTAAACCAAACTTTACTGCAGCGTTTATTGTCCTAGATATGAAATGAAAGCATGTTAGAACATTAGGATGCAATAAATTGGCCATTGAACTGAGCTCCACCCTCATTATAATACCATCCATCAGAGCCAAGTATTTGAGGCTTTGTTGTGGGGCTGGTTACATGGAATTTAATGCCTTTGAGACACAGCCAGGTATCTGTGGCTTTGTCATTGAGGGATATAATTGAGAAACCTAGAATAAGGGGCAAGAGACTCATACGGTATTTTCCTATACTCACAGGAGGCATCCTACCAGGTCAACACTGTCTTTGGCCATACCAAGTCAATGCTAGCTTTGGTCAAGAAGAGACAGTGACCAGTAACTATAAATTATCATATTATAATAGTTAAGCGTGTTTCTCAGAACTTAGAGTGCTAATTGCAGCACAACCTGTGAGAAGGAGCCTGTGTCCTAATGAATTCTTTGCCCGTGTGCAGTACTCTGTGTGTCTTTCAAGAGGGAAATTCCTTCTAGAAACTTCTATGGCAGCCACTTTCTGAATCTAAACCATATTTTATTTAAGCACAAATAACTGCATACACCAGATTAGAAAAAAATCACCTTTTTCAAGAAGTAGTTAATGTTTCTGCCTCACAGACTTCCAGATCCAGCCCTTATAAGCAAGAGGGAAACTAATTGTGAGAGAACACAAGATAGTTCAGTTTACTACAGTAAGGTATGGATTACTCGCTTGAAAAGAAAATCAGTGGAGTTGAAAAAGTTTACAGAGTGTGCTGTGGAAAGTAACATTCAAATCCCTGTGAAACTGAAGCAGGTCTACAGCACTGGGATAGATTAGGTAGCTTCCCAAAGAAGACAATAACATTCATAAGTTAACAACAAAAACCTGTGAAACACTGTCAAGAACAAAAAATGTAGGGAAGGAAGTTGGCAGTTCTACAGAAAATATATTTTACATCTGTCTTTCATAGAATTAGAGGGATACACACTAGAGTGATATTTGATGAAGAAGATTTGTCCTAGATGAATTAATTTGGAGGATGATTATAAGATTAGAAAAATCTCCATTCTCATAGTATCAGAGGAGTATATGGATTGCTATACCAGATCAGGCCATTGACCCACTAAATTAAGTGCAATATCTCTGAAAACAGCCATGATTAAAAGATTTAAAAGAGAGAACAAAACTCCTTATAAGAGGCTGCTCACAACCAGTATGGTCTGGGGGCAAACACAACAGAGATGCAGATTAGCAGAGATTGCCATATGCTCCAAAATATATCTGATTTGTTTAATTTTATGTAATACAAAATTAATACAGTTATTCTAACATAGACCATGTTTTTGATCCACAGAGTGCTTAATGTGCTAGGCTCCTAAGTCAGGACTTCTTGCTTTCTCACTTGCAGTCTGAACAACCATAGTATTATCTCTTCTTATTAAGCATAGTTATTGATAGAGTACCACAGTGATGCCTGCAGTACATGAAGTTATCCTTTAATAGTGATTATTTGATAGATTTCCTCATTTTCATTTTTCTCACTATTCTTTGTGCAAGTACTAACATTTCAGTGCCCTTATCTTTCTTCAAACTTTATTTAAAAGGCACTAGCACAGCAATTCCAGCATCGGAGGAGCTTGTGCTCTCTGCCTCAGCGTGACTGTACACTACAGATATTTTGTGACTACTTAAAAGTGCCAGTCAAGTAACTTCAAACTGCTTTTCAGGAAGTTAAATGACAATTCTCACATTGGTCCTTGTAAGAGATCCCAGGGAACTGAATGTCTATGTTAATCAGAGGACAAT